GTAGTTTTAAATAGTTTCCAAGCATTCCCAATGGTTTTGACCTTTTCTACTTTTCCTTTCAGTTTCCTCCCCACATGTCCCCTCATATCAGAGAAGTTACCCCTTTTAAAGTTAAAAGTGGTTGTGCTGGTTAATACCATCGAGTTGCTCCATCACCAGCTTGAGCATATCCGCTAGCATTTTAATGATGTCTGCTCCCTCTTCCGGTTTTGGACTCTGGCTGCCCGGCGGTTTCGTTTTCAGCTTTCTCTGCTGGGCCGCCATTTTCTCCGATTTGTTTACAGTTTCTAACGCTTCTTCCCGGCTTGAAAAATCGCCCCACCGCGGCTGATGTTTTTATTTCAAACAATCCCAATAGTAAGAGATAAGAAGATTTTTAACATATGGCAAAAAGAAATTTCAAAGTTTGTTTGGGCCGGGAAGAAACCACGAATTAAAATGAAGATTTTATGTGATGCCAAAGAGAGAGGGGGATTCCAGTTACCGAACTTTAGATTGTACCATGAAGCGGTATGTTTAACTTGGTTGCAACAATGGGTTACATTAAACAATAAGAAATTGTTGGCGTTGGAAGGTCATGACTGTAAATTTGGTTGGCACGCCTATTTATGGTACGATAAAGTAAAAATGGATGGTTTCTTCAAACATCATTATATCAGAAGAATGTTATTTGACACATGGATTAAGTATAGAGGGTACTTCTCGGACGAGAGACCTCTTTGGCTTGTACCGGCAGAGGTTATAAAGCCTTTTTTGGCATATAAGGGAGAGGATTGGGTACAATATAAAGACATGCTGAAGCCAGTGGGAAAGACATTTGAAATGAAAATGGAAGAAGATTTAGCTTTTAAATATGGTTGGCTTCAATATAGACAAATTAATGACTTGTTCAAAAAAGATAAAAAGGTGTTTGGGTTTAGAAGAAAGTATAATGAAATTGAGAATGTATGGTTTGAGGGAGATAAAAAACTTATTTCAAAAATGTATAAAATATTGTTAAAATGGTATACAGAAGATGAGATAATTAAGGAACAGATGATAAAATGGGCGATAAATATGAATAAGGAAATAATGATGTCATCTTGGGAGTATTTATGGAAGAATGCATTGAAAATATCAACATGTAACAGCTTAAAAGAAAATTGTTATAAGGTGATGTATAGATGGTATATGACTCCGAAAAAGATTGCTAATATGAATAGTAATATGTGAAACAAATGTTGGAAGTGTAAAAAGATAGAGGGCTCATTTTATCATATGTGGTGGACATGTGAAAAAGCTAAAAAGTTTTGGGTTGAGATACATGCAGAGATGGAAAAAATTGTGAAATGTAAATTTAAGAAGGAGCCGGAAATATTACTTTTGGGACTTAAAATGGAATAAGTCAATGTGGCAAAAAAGACATTGATGTGGTATATGATTACAAGTGCCAGAATGACTTATGCTCAGTGTTGGAAGCAAGATAAAGTTCCGGAAATTGGAGATTGGATTAAAAAAATATTGTTTATGGTTGAAATGGACAAAATGACCAGGAAACGTAATAATTTGGAGGCAGAGGAATTTTTTGAGGACTGGAAAGACCTAAAGGACTATTTGGAAAAGCATTGGGATGTAGGAGATATGTTATTTTGCTTTAATAATTATTGAAATAAAGATTAATGATATGTATCGAAGTTAAAAACGTAAAAATGGAGATTAGTTACCTACTGTATATGTGGTAAAAAAGGAGAGGGAGGAAGATAAATTTTTATGAAGTGAGCAGGAGGTTGGAGCACTGTGGGAAGCCAAGGGGGGGGGAAGGGAGGAGGGTAGGATGTAAAATTGTATAATTTTATAACAAGTGTTTGAATTGATTGATTATATCCTGAATAAAATGTTTTACAAAAAAAGAAAAAGAAAAATCGCCCCATGATGATGGTAATCAAGTAAGTCTCTCAAAACACACTCGTATATCCTCCCCTCTCCCCCTTCGTATCGCTTATCAGTTCATTCGCATAAGTTCATTCCCCTCTTTGCATCTGCTTTTATCAGCGGGGGGGGGGAGCCGCTTTTACAATAATCCGGTTTATTCTGAACTCACGTTCATTGTCGGTCAGTTTCTCTGACCTCGCTCACTTTAAATGCCATTCAGCTCAATCTCCGGTGCTTGTCCCGGTCAAACCAGCTAGTGCTCGAAGGCCACACAGCGTCTGGACTGTCAGGGCAGAGGGGAGCCTCAATTCTCCGGCATTACGCCATCGAAGAGGCTACCCCTCAAAAGCCCTCTGGCCTGGAGCCTATCAGAAAGGCTCCGTGGGGGTGTCACGAGGTGGCACCCCTCCAAGCCGCTGGTGTGTGGATCGCTCTCCTGCGGTTCAGGGAGAACGTCCGCCATCGCTGCTCCATAAACCGGAAGTCCGCCACCACCCTCTCGATTAATATGCCCAAATAGGGCAGGTTGGACACTGGCCGATAGTTGGCCAATTCGGTCGGGTCCAAGGTTCGTTTTTCAAGAGAGGGCGGACCATCCTCTTGCTGAAATAGTCACATACAATATAAATTGTAGATCATTTTTCTTACATTGTTCAGGAATAATACTTAACATAAATACTTCTGGAGTAAAGGGGATGAAAAATTTTAAAGTTTTTTGTATTACCTCATGTATCCATGCCCAATATGTCTTAGCTTTTTCACATTTCCACCACATATGATAAAATGACCCCACTTTACTCTGACATTTCTAACATAGGTTTGAATATTTGGAATCTATTTTTGAGAGAATATCGGGGGTGGTATACCATCTATGGCACATCTTGTAAATATTTTCTTTATAAGAAATTGCTTGTGTGATTTATATGTTTTTTTCCCTAATCTGGGCCCATTGTTCCAGCTCTACATTATGTCCCAAATTTTGAGCCCATTTTATCATAAACTACTTAACGGCCCCCTCATCTTGGGGAGCCTATTTCCTCTCAACGTTTGTCCAAGTGGTTGACTTCCACCATAGCCCTTTGCTATGAGCTTGCATGTCAACCCATTCCTCCCTCTGTCACTGACCATTCTACACGGGTGGTATCGACATCCACCACTTTCCTGGCTGGTGTTCCGTTGGAGGACGTCTTTGCGGCTGCTACGTGGTCCTCGGCATCGACCTTCGTGACCCACTACACACTCGATGTCCGAGCTCAATGGGATGCTGCATTCGGCCAGTCGGTGCTGCGATCTCTCTTCGCTCCCCCCCCCTTTCAATTTATTGATCGCTCAATCCTTGCAGAGCTGCCGGCTCTGAGCGATTTACAGTTACTCATGTGTAGACACGGAGCTAACAATGATGGGGGTAAGGGAGGACAACATATATCATTTTTAATCACACACACTTCGCAGTCGACAGGGAGCTTGGTCAGCTGTAAGCATCAGACGTGTCCCGGCAGCATTCTTTAGTCAGCGTCGCTTGATGTCATCAGCATTTTCTTGGTCGCAGCACACCACTGCCACCGTCTGGCCGGAATGGCCCATTGCAGGCTTTTCTTTGAAGCTGTGTAGATCTCTCTTTGCTTTTGAGCTTACGCACGGACCTTCCGTTTGTCGGCTAACACTTTCCCACGGGGGGGGGGTTAAGTGTGCCCACCCTCTCTACGGAGTGGTACCCATTTTATCTACTCGCCAAAGCTTTCGAACCGCTGGGTGGACGGCGAGCTGGGGACACGGCTGGTAGCTCACACCAGTGCGGGGCTCGAACTGACAGCATTCCTGTTCAGCTCAGATGTTTAACCAGAGGATAAATCCCCTGTGCCACCGCTCCCCTGTCCCCGCTTGACCCTGCTACGTCTCCGGGTAGGACCCGTGGATGTTTCTTCCTGCTGGTGATGCTGTGTCTTAACCAGTATTCTTTGTGTCTCTTGCAACTGCCAGCTCCCTCCTCCAACTGGTTCAGCTCTTGTATTCACCCATGTGTGGGACTGCACAGAGACCACGATGAAGATAAACAGGTTGCTTACCTGTAACTGATGATCTTTGAGTGGTCATCTGTGCAGTACCACAATACCCCCCAGCCTTTCCCACTGCTGGCATCTCCTATTCACCTTTCTTTGGCTTGATGGGAGTTACCGGTAGCGGTCGAAGGAATTGAGTGGGAGGCGGCTCTCTCTCCCCGCTCCAGGCATGCGCAGTACGTGCCTGCTCCCCAGGGTGGGAAGAGAGCCCGTCAAAAGCTTTCTGAGGCAAAGCTCTAGAAGTTTCTCCAGTTGAGGTCGTGCACAGGCGCCCAACCCATGTGTGGTACTGCGTAGATGACCACTCGAAGATCATCAGTTACAGGTAAGCAACCTGTTTTTCCTGTAGTTAGTCCTAAAGATGCTTGGCTGGGGACCTCCTGCCAAGGAGTTTAGGCTCCCGCCAAGGAGTTTAGGCAAAGAGGCTTGGCTGGGAACCTCCCACCAAGGAGTTTAAAGCTCTTTAAGGTTTAAAGCTAGGAAGGCAAATATCCAGTCTTGGGAACGTATCACAGTTGTCCTGTAGAAAGCTATTCACAGTCTCTTAAATGAATATTTGGCTGGGTTTCTAACCCCCCCTTGCTCAGTAGCGACAGCTATGACTCACGTTTCCGTGGGTCTCTTCTTTCTGCTCAGTGCTGGAGGCAAGCCCTGGCTTTCTTTGTTATGCTGCTGCTTTGCGAAGTGCCAGGTTGAAGCCCCTTGCTCTGGACCCACTGCTTAGGGGCCAGAGAAGCCGCAAATCATTTGAGACCCCTTTACTTAGAGCGAGAAAGCCAGCACGGCTGAGGAGCGAGTCTCTACCGTGTCCATGGCGCTGCGCTGCAACCACTCCCTTTATCTAACTGATTTCATTATCTGGATTCTGTACTCTAGACAGTCAGAATACTCTGACCATCTTCTTCATTTGCATGTGATTTCAGGCTCAGATATGGACCTTCACTCCTAATGAGCAGATAAAGTATCTTCTGCGGGCTTGGGTGACAGTGTGGAGAGATCAAGAGATACTGGATGACAAAGCCCCAGAGAGTGTTCGTTATCCGCTACGGGTTATCGGGGAAGGAGCACTGGCCACTTTAACAGTAAGTTACAACATTTGGGGGAATAAAGAGTTTTGGAGGAAAGTGGAAGCACTATTATAGAGCTTCCCATGAAAGCAAACCGAAGGGGTACCCTAGCATCTATGCAATCTTGGATTATAATATGGGTATCCCTCCCAGTTGGTAGTGACACAAGCCTCTGAAGCAGATCTGTAGACCATGGTGATCAACACTGACATATTCTCAAGGTAGTCTTTTTTTTCCACCTCATTGTCCCGGATATGGGGGTATGTTTAGAAGAAATTCCTGTAATCTCTTTTGCTTGATGGGCATGATCCTTCTGTGTTTGGGTTGCAGGCACTAGAGGAGCAGGTGGATGTTGGCAGTATCTTGGTTGGCAGAACACAGTCATGTGAACTTGTATTATTGAACAATGGGGCCTGTTCCCTAAAATACATATTCAGTGTGGAGCAGACAATCACTGGACCATGTGACCCTGAAGAAGTTGCCAGTGACACACTAGGTATTTATTAGAGATGCAAATCTTTTTAGCTTTCTGAGTTCTCTGCTCTATGCTCATAACATTTCTCTCCCCCCCCCCCCCCCCCCGCCTCAGCAATAGAACTTGACCACTACAGCGGAACAATTCCTGCTCGGGGAAAGATCTTGCTGCGAGCAACTTTTAGCCCAGCCCGTCGGTTGCACTACACCTGGACTATCTTTTATGCCCTCTCCACTGTGAAAGGTGAGCAGTCAAGAGGAACTGGATAGTAATATAAGTCACTCTCCATAACAAGCAAATTATATATCTCTGTGAGTGCAGGGGTGGTGGTGGGGATTCCACACCAAATGAGACTGTCCTTACTTCACTACATATTTAACCTGCCAAAAAGCTTGTATGGCTCCAAGCTGAGTGATGAGCTAGTGGAATGTCTAGCTGGAGGCAAAGGGAGCTCAGCTATTGCTTCTTTTATACTGTCACAGTGTCCCATCCTCTGCCATTTGAACAATCTTAGGTGAATTTCTGGCACAAGGGGTCAGGGGTCTCTCCTGTTGACCCAAGGGCCTTTCTTCACACTTTTAAAAATCCTTACTGGAATATCCCTGAAAACTCCGGTGGAGTGGTAGCAGTATGATGTTCCACCCCTCACGCAACATACTGTGGAGAAGAGGAAGTATCTTTGTTGTTGCTCATCTAAAATATCATCTGGTTTGTAATGGGAGGGGGAAGTATGCAGCCACCAAGGAATCTGGGTAGTGGGAACCATTGGCTAGGCTCGGAGGGGTTTCCTTTCAGTATGGAAAATGGTGCCTTGATTGGAATTAGTATTTCAGTCCTGTGATTTTGCCTGACAAACTTACTTGGGACATAGCAAATGGGCTTCAGTGATCTTTAATGACCTGAAATCTGTCCTCAACCTTGAAACAGAATTTTTGAGAAAGGCAATCTCCCTTATATATAAAAGAAGAAGAAGAGATTGGATTTATACCAATCTCCAACTTAATTGTAATTTTTCCAACTTAAATAACTCAACCATGTGGCTAAAGGACCAGCCAAAAATACAGCATCAGCATGTTGTCAGGATTGGGTGTACAATTCCATGGGAAAGATCTCTGTGATAAGCCACCATACATGTAGTTACATCATTTGAATGTTATACCAGCAATATAGAAGGTGTTTGTGGAAAAGCAGCTCTCATTTCACTAAGGTAGCATTTAAAGGGCTAATCACTGCACGATCATTCTAATTCTCATTTTCTGGATACACTTTTCAGATCTGGGACAGTATTTTTGTCAAAATGAGAAAGGCAGGGTGAAGCACTAAGTGCATTTGTTTTATTATTTTTATCTCAACCTTTCTCCAAGGATTGAAAACAACATTTAAGCCTCATGATAGAAGAAGAAGAAGAAGAGATTGGATTAATACCCTGCCCTTCACTTGGAGTCTCAGAGCGGCTTACAAACTCCTTTCCCTTCCCCTCCCCACAACAGACACCCTGTGAGGTGGGTGGGGCTGAGAGAACTCTGACACAAACTCCTCTTTTTCAAGGACAGCTGTGCCAGAGCTTGTGACTGACCCAAGGTCACATCAGCAGGTGCAAGTGGAGGAGTGGGGAATCAAACCCGGTTCTCCCAGATTAGAGTCCGCGCACTTAACCACTACACCAAAGCCGAATGGTGGTGGCACGAACATTCCACACGCTCCGGAATTGATTGGCGCCCTGGTGTGTCACTCAGAATCTGTCCCTATCCACTGGCTGCATTGCTTCAGTCTTGCCTCCAACAGTCTAAACAGTTTGCTGTTCCCCCCGCCCCCATAGCCAGTCAGAACACAGAGGTTATTTGCATATGCAGCCTCATTGGCCTTTGCCTCGGAACACAGAGGTCATTTGCATATGCGACTTGATTTTTTCCTCTAACATTCTAAACAGTTTTGCTGTTCTGAGGTAAAATGTGTCCAATCTCCAGGTGAGGGCTGGAGATCACTCCGGATTACAACTGCTTTCCAGATGGCAGAGATCAGTTCCCCTGGAGAAAATGGTGGGCTCTGTATCCTTATATGCTGCTGTGGTGGCCCCCATATGACAGCGAATGTGACATAGCAGTCAGGGCTTCAGAGCATGGGAGAGGCTGCAGGTGTGTGGGGGTGGAAAGCTGAAGAGTGAGGGGGAAATAAAGGTAGGTTGATGATTGGCTGGGGAAAAGATAGGGTTGCCAACTCCAGGTGGGAAATTCCTGGAGATATGAGGGATGGAGCCTGGAAAGGGTGAGGTTTCAGGAGGCGTGGGACCTCGGACAGGTACAAAGCCATAGACTCCACCCTCCAAACCAACCATCCCCTTATGGGGAACCATCGTTGCCAATCTCCAGGTGAGGGCTGGAGATCACTCAAAATTACAACTGTTCTTTAGGTAGCAGAGATCAGTTCCTCTGGAGAAAATGGTGGACTCAGTGTCATTATACCCTGCTGAGGTCGCCACAGCAAATTGACACTGAGTTGGCACCCGCCCAGAGCCTCTTTCTAGAGATCATTGTATTTATTTTCACAACGGGCCTTTTTCCTAGTTTACAAATATTTCAATAAATATGTATAATGTCTGGGGGTTGGTTGGAGAGATAGCTAGAAAGTCGCGGTTTGAATTCAAAGACAAAGTGGAGGGTTTTTAGTTAGCATTTCCTGGACTGGAAAAAGCAAAAGGTCCCATAGAGGCTCATATCGTTGCTGTTCTGGAATCTGTATAGAGTTAGCAGGTGTGCTGTCTGCTTTCAGCATCTGCTTGCATGCAAAATGCTCAGTTTGTGTGGTTGTAAACAAGCAAATATTACAAAGTTACCTCTGATCCAAAGGAAATTAAATACTGTAGTACTGTCTTGCAAGTGGGGAGTACTTAACAATTCAGACAATAAACCAGTGGCTTATGGGAAAGGCATTTTGAGAACCCCCTGCCAAGTTCAACTTCTCTTTTTCCATAGCTGTAAAGACAAATGAAACTGACAAGATGCTTTTCCAGATGCAGCTCTGCTGATGGGCTCTTTTGTCTGTTATATTCCTTTTATTGCATACTAGCTTGATACCCGTGCTTCGCTATGGTAACTTAAGTTCCATAAATCCAGTTATAATATTGATGATGTGAAATTTGAAATGTGACATTTGTTGTAGGAATTCTAACAGAGAAGATTGTGGTGTAAGAAATGAAGTGAGACTTACGTCCCTTTTTCCTGTACTGAAGGACCTCTCTCTAGACCACATTGGTGGTTCTGCCCTCAGGTGCTAGGATAACCAGGCTGCTTGGTGAGCTCACTCTGGAGCAGGCCACATAGAACTGCCCATTTAAGAAGCAGTCATCATTTAAGAAGCAGGGGTCACGCTTCTCAGAAATCTCTTGGGGGGTGTGTGATATTATGGTAGGAATGCACTCCCCTTATTTTGGGTTTCTTGGTGCAGGGGTTTGGACTGGGCATTGAATTTGGGGGGAGGGCATACCCCCCTTTTTCTCACAAAAATGCCTCTTATTTATGTTACATTTTAGAACTGGGACATAACTACATATTCAAAACACCATCCGAGCAAACAGATATTAAGCAAGTTCATATGAACCACTTTTCTAGAACCTACATTGTGAGAAATTAAATAACCTAATCTACAGATTTGAAGTATATTTCCATTGTGGGTGTGAGTGTGGCTAAGCTGGGCCAGCAGCATCGCTAAGGCGATCCTGCTGGGGCGAGGTCCCTGATGGATTAAAGTACCCTGGTCCTGCTCCTACACCTGACAGACACCAGCCTGTCTGGTGTTGGGGGGGATTGTATTTAAAGGCATTGCAGAGGCTGGGCCAGCAGCAGGGCTAAGGCAATCCTGCTGACCAAACCTCCCTGGTGGCTGTAAGCATCCTGCCTCCTCTCCTACACCTGACAGGCTGTCCAGTGCAGGAGGGAGAGAGGGGAGGAGTATTAGAAGCCACTTTGGAGGTGGGGCTGGTAGGATCACTAAGGCGTTACTGCTGGGGCGGGCAGGGTGGCTTTAAGCACCCTGCAACCACTGCTGCACCTGACAGACAATTGCCTGTTAGGTGTAGGAGGTGGGGGGAGTGTGTTGGAAGCCATCAGAGAGGGTGGACCAGCAGCATTACTGCACCTCACAGGTGGTTGTTGGCCGTTCCTGATTTCCTCAACTGTCATGAGCTCTCTGCAGTCTCCTGTACCTGTTTTTTTTTTTACCTCAGAACACTGAGCTCTGCCGCTGACCAATCAGAGAGTGGGGGGTGCAAGGAGGCAGCAGCCTGACAGCTGCATAGGAATCAATGGGGGGACAACATTTTACCCCTTTTGACCCCCTTAGGGGTCGAATTTCTAAAAATCCCTTCTTAGTGAGCACCTATGTCACGGTAAAAGCACTCTCCCTGAATGTGGTGTTTCTAGGTCCAGCAGTTTGGCCTGGGTGTTGATTTTATGGTTAGAGGACTTTCTTTTATATATATATACTAGGAGAAAGGCCCGTTGCAGGTATGAATACAACGGGAGCTAGCGGGTGTGTATGGGTGGTCTGGGTCCGCGCATCGCCGGGGCCCCCCCCCCCCCCGGTCGCAGG